CAGGACTTATACTAGAACTGAAATAGTGGATATTATAAACAGTACTTATACTAGCACTGAAATGGTGGATATTAGAAACAGGACTAATACTAGAACTGAAATGGTGGATATTATAAACAGGACTTATACTAGAACTGAAATAGTGGATATTAGAAACAGGACTAATACTAGAACTGAAATAGTGGATATTAGAAACAGGACAATACTAGAACTGAAATAGCGGATATTAGAAACGGGACTAATACTAGAACTAAAATAGTGGATATTAGAAACAGGACTAATATTAGAACTGAAATAGTGGATATTAGAAACAGGATTAATACTAGCACTGAAATAGTGGATATTAGAAACAGGACTAATATTAGATCTGAAATAGTGGATTATAGAAACAGGACAATACTAGAACTGATTTAGTGGATATTAGAAACAGGACTAATACTAGAACTGAAATGGTGGATATTATAAACAGGACTTATACTAGAACTGAAATAGTGGATATTAGAAACAGGACTAATACTAGAACTGAAATTGTGGATATTAGAAAAAGGACTAATACTAGAACTGAAATAGTGGATATTATAAACAGGACTAATACTAGTACTGAAATTGTGGATATTAGAAACAGGACTAATACTAGAACTGAAATAGTGGATATTAGAAAGTTAAATAAGGTAAACATAAAATATTCGAGTGGAAACGAGTTAAAAAGAGATACAATTACATAATTAGAGGAATATGGTAGAAAGCGAAAGAGAGAGGAAAAATTATGACATTAATACATGAAAAGGAAATAATTAGGAAAGAACCAAGTTGAAAGTAGGAAAAAATTAAATAGATGGCACGAACTAATTAGAAGAGAGTGACATGATGAAAAAATAGGAATGTACAGTGATCGGTGTTTTTATCAATACAATGAAGACGACTTTTTTATTTAAGTTTTGATTTATAGCAAGCTTTTTTTAAATTACAAGTTTACAAGTAAAAAAAGGCGTCTTCAATCTATTGATATTTACGACGACGACGAATGTAAGATCGATAGGAACTGAAGAAAAAATATGGGAACGAGAATGTTAATAGAAATGAAATATTTTTTAATAATGTAAATTTATAAAGAGCGTACTTTAGAAAAAATTGAATTCCAATTCATTCGTTCCCGATGCAAATTGTACGATAGCACTGAAATAACAAGACCCTTTATGTTTAGGTATTGAGTCGAGGACAAGAACTAGTGAGTACAGTTTCAAATCCCCAGGATCAAGTAGAGATTAGGATCCAGATGAAAGTTCTCATTGAAAGGTATGATTGATAATGATCCAACCTTCATCCTTAACTTTCCCCTTGTACAGATAAATCTCAACTTTTCTTTTCTTCACAAACTTTTAAAACTAAGTATTTATATTTTCCGTTTCTTGTTAAATGTTTACAATTGTGTTACATAATTGGTTTTACATGTAGAACATTTTAAATGAGTTACTGTTGTTATAACAGATTAGATTATACGAAAATTAATTTTAAAACTTTTAAATAAGATAAAGTACTAGACTGTGTATTTTAAGTTTGGATAATGAAAAATAACATAACGGAAATAATTACTCCGTGTTTGCACAATAAATTATTCCGTGTACACTGTAAACTGCACAGAATCCTAGCAGGGGAAGTTGTTTTAAATCCTTTGATTAATGCCTTTTATCTTCTTCTACAATTGAATAGAACTAGCCTTGGTGGGGCGGTTGTGCCCTGAAGGCAGTCTGGGGGTTCACTTTCAGATTTAAACTTGATTTGATTTGATTTCTCCTATCTCTATTAAAACTCTTCTCTTGTCCTTACCGGATAAAAACTATCCTGTTCTCCTTCCTGGATAAAACTATCCTGTTCTCCTATCTGGATAAAACTATCCCGTTCTCCTACCTGGATAAAGCTATCCTGTTCTCATACCTGGATAAAACTATCCTGTTCTCCTTCCTGGATAAAACAATCCCGTTCTCCTACCTGGATAAAACTATCCTGTTTTCCTATCTGGATAAAACTATCCTGTTCTTCTACCTGGATAAAACTATCCTGTTTTCCTATCTGGATAAAACTATCCTGTTCTCCTACCTGGATAAAACTATCCTGTTCTTCTACCTGGATAAAACTAGCCTGTTCTCCTATCTGGATAAAACTATCCTGTTCTCCTACCTGGATAAAACTATCCTGTTTTCTTATCTGAATAAAACTATACCGTTCTCCTACCTGGATAAAACTATCTTGTTCTCCTACCTGGATTAAACTATTCTGTTCTCCTACCTGAATAAAACTATCCTGTTCTCCAACCTGAATAAAACTCTTTTGTTCTCCTACCTGAATAAATCTGAAGTATCTTACTACTTGGATAACAATTATCTACATATCTTACTACTTCTTTATTCTATCTATTGTTCTGATAAACTTTACAAAAATGTTTTTCTTGTTTTGAAATTCAACTCATGACAGTGCCCAAAACTGTCCCTAATTGCTTCGGCAAACATTGCAGTTATTTCACCTTAGGAATGTTTACAGTTTTCTTTAATTCTTTAAAAATTAAATTCTGAATTTTGAATTTAGATATGCAGTGCAAGTTGAGAATCCGAGGGGAAAATTCTTTGGAAACTTGAAAAAGTTAATGATTTCTAAAACTTTAATCGTAAAGAAAAGATTCAACTATCTTAATCTATGGAACATGATTCAGCTAGAATACAACATTATGCACTCCGATAGCGGTGAATAATTGTAAAATATTTAATATATTCTCCCCTGATCCTGATCCACTCTGTACTATGTACTAGGAGGTTTGTTTATCCGTATTATGTGTTTACATCTCCCCACAATTCAAGAAAGCCTTGGGAGATAAACTTATGATTTCAGTTCATTCTCCACCTTGAAACCTTTTCCATTTATATTTAGATACGATTTAGTTTTCAAAGGTTATCATTAATGCTTATGATCAAATAGATTGTCAAGTACAATAGGTGGCAACAGAGAAATGGACCAATTATACATGACGTCACAAGTGTCAAATTTAACAAGGAAGACAACATTTTCTCCCATAAGTTGACATGTTTTCCAAGATTAAATAAAAAAGTGTAAAAAAAAGAAATTAAACGCTTTAAATTGCACTTATTTTACAATAAGATAAACACTTTATTATCCTAACATTATTATTAATAATTTTATCGGACACATAAAACTGTTGACACTTGTGACATAAGAATATAGCTGTACTGAGAGTGTACAAATTCTACGTTGCCATCTATTGTACTTGATAATCTATTAATCTATTTGCTTACGATCGATTCCATTTTGACGTGGACACGGATTTGGGATCAGTCCTGTGAAAATATAGAAATTAAGGAATATTACTAAGTTCTACTTTTTCTTGAACTTTTTTTATTAAAACGTTTGACCATTCAACGATTGGAAAAAATTATTATCTCTCCTTAATTAAATTTTTTTATGTGTTTTAAACTTTAATATTTTCCCACTTCGATCTGAATCCAGGAAGCTAAAATGTTGAAGAACAAACATTAGTTATATGCTAAATAAACATTTAAAATTCGAGTTTACTTTGTATTTAAATTAAGAATTGTTTATCTATAGATGGGAGAAGGTTAGAGAGCTTGCCATGAGTAAACAATCCGAGCTCCACAAGCTTATCATGCATCTACAGTTGGAGCAAATCACGGCGCTGAGAACCTGGATGACCAAGACGGAGGATAGAATATCTCTGCTAGGACGGAGTGGAAAGGATCTTGAAGAGGTTCGAACCCAGCTCCGTGAGGTTGATGATCTTCAAGGAGACCTGGAGAACCAACACACTGCTGTTAGTGCCATCTCGAACTTTATCCTGGTTGAGTCGGATGAAGCAATTAATATTGAAGATGAGCTGGCAGGTAACCTGGGGCCAGATTTTATGAATAGCGAGCAGTGGCTGAACTGTGCTGACTTAGTTCAACCACTTCTTTCGTGCGCCGGTTCAAGCTGAGGAGTAGTGGTTTAACCATGTCTCGCTATTCAATATATCAGGTTCCTGAAATATAACCTTGGAATCCAGTGAAGAAATAAAACTAAAAGATTCCCATAATCTCAGTTATTTTTCAAGGAATATAGTTGACATTTTCATAATATTTGTCAATCATCGTCTCTCTAAGATTTTTAGATCGTCAATTCAATCCCATGTTTTTTGGGACAACACAAAAAGTGAAAAAACTTTTATGGTCGTATTTTTTTAACGTCTCGATTTTAGGAAGCGTCCGATTCTTTTTCCCGTTTTTCTAAGTTAATTGTTGCATTTTAAAGACGCAGTCAACCACTCCGACAAGTCTTAAGGCTCACAACACATATGAGAACACAACCGAACTGTTTACAGGCAACAAGCCTTTGGTTTTCTGGCCCAATCACACTTTTTATATTAACACAATACTAGCTTTCAATCCTAGCTATCCCAGGTTGTCTGATGATACTGTCGTCATCGTATATATATGATATATATAATGAAGACTACTTTTGATTTTGATTTTGATTTCTACCAAGCTTTCGAACAGCATGGATACACGTACAAAGAGAAGCAGTTAAATAATGGCTTATCTTTGTTAGCTTAAGTAAACTCAAAACTTAAATAGAAAAGTCGTCTTCATTGTATTGATATAAACGCCGACCACTTTATAACAAGAGGTCGAGGGTTGTAATACAAATTCAGTTCATATAATATAGAAGAAGAAATGTTGTCCCTGCCCTTTTTTCGTCCTAGTGCAACAGATTTTCTGTTTGTAGGATTAGGAGAGCGTTGGTGTATGATCTGTAGATGTATTGAAGAAAGACAAGAGTTTCTCCAGGGTCTAGCAGGAGTACAGGAGGACCAGGACCGTCTCCACAACTATCTCCAGGGGGTAGAAACTATGCTCAAGGAGATGGAACACTCTCAAGATCTTGATAACGTTCAGCTTCAGGATCAAACACGGAGAATTCTGGTAAGTTTAAATCTAGTTTTTCTGATTGAATGTTTATTTATTGTTATGTTTTCAGACCTACATTAATCTTTATAATGTTTGTCCTAGAATGAAAAGTTTAGACTCAGAAATAAAACATTTATAAGTTTGGCTTAACTCTTAAACTTTGCTCAAAATGACACAAAAACATTAAGAAAGTTTAAAACTGAAGTTAGGATAAATTGGGTTACTTAAGTTTATATCCTTAAGCAACTGGAGATTCTGAAACTATATTCAGATCAATCGTTAAATTTTCTCTTTTTTTCCCCCATGTCTTTACAACACTTTACAACTCTTAGCCCCCTGCCCTGCTCCTAAACATACACCCCATCCCCTCCCTTGGCCTTTTTGGCCTTTTCTGTTTTCCCTCCCCCACCCTTTTTTCTATATTTACCTCCCCCTCTTCCCCCTCCTCCCCCTCTACTTTCTTTTCAGATCTTTATATATACATAAATCAAGTTCTTCTTGTTAGTAAGCAGACAACAAGTAACAACATATTTTTGTTTTGTAGTACATGTTTTTTCTTTTCTTGATTACCTGTGTTTTCATAACATATCCCACAATGTACATTGTTTAGAGCTTGTTGTTGTATTACTGCTAGTTATCTGTGCATCATTAAATCTATGACTCGGCATTTTACCTTTCGTGTTTTCTTGCTTTTGCCAAAATATTGGACAAATTACGAAAACACCAAGTTTTCAGTTAAAAACATTGTTCAAAAGCAAAGCTTAGATTTTCATTCATTATACTACTCTTATTTACATTTCATAAACTTACTCCTTGTGTTCATGAACCCAACCATTTATTAAAACTCACTTCTGTTAATGAACCAACATTCCTTTTCACGAACCCACTCTTACTGTTCACAAACTCACTCTTCCTATTCACGAACCCACTTCCTGTTCACGAACTCACTCTTCCTGTTCACGAACCCACTCTTCCTGTTCACGAACCCACTCTTTCTGTTCACGAACACACTCTTCCTGTTCACGAACCCACTCTTCCTATTCACGAACCCACTCTTGTTCACGAACCCACTCTTCCTGTTCACGAACCCACTTTTTCTGTTCACGAACCCACACACACTGTTCATGAACCTCTTGTTTATAAACCGTATAACTCCTGTTCACACATGCTTGTTTTACATTTTATTCTGATCATGAACTTACTCCTCATGTTCATGAACCCATTCATTTATAAAAACTCACTTCTGCCAATGAACCCACTCGTCCTGTTCACGAACCCTCTCTTCCTGTTCACGAACCAACCCCTCCTGTTCATGAACACAACTCTCCTGTTCATGAACCCACCCCTGCTGTTCATGAACCCACAACCGTATTTTCATGAACCCGCCCCTGCCGTTCATGAACCAACCCTCCTGTTCATGAACCCACCCCTCCTGTTCTTGAATACACCTATTCTGTTCATGAATCATAATCTCACTTCTGCTGTTACACATTCTTTAGACCCTGTTCATAATTCACTTTTTCTCTATTTCCTGTTCATAAACTCACTTCTCCTGTTACACATTCTATAAATCCTGTTCATAATTCACTTCTTCTGTTTCACATTCTCTCTTTCCTGTTCACAAACTCACTTCTCCTGTTACACATTTTATCAATCCTGTTCATAAATTTACTTCTCCTTTTGCATATTCTCTAAATCCTTTTTGTGAAGTTACTTCTCCTGTTGCACATTTTCTGGATCCTGTTCATAAATTTACTTCTTGTGTTTCACATTCTCTAGATCCTGTTTATAAACTTACTTCTCCTGTTGCATACTCTCTGGATCCTGTTCATATATTTACTTCTCCTGTTGCACATTCTTTAGATCATGTTCATAAATTTACTTCTCCTGTTGCACATTCTTTAGATCATTTTCATGAATTTGCTTCTCCTGTTTAGGTTGTTGAGACTGAACTAGAGGTGAAGAGGGAACGATTAACTCTGCTCGGTTTAAACACAGAGGATATACAGGTATTTAATTAACAATAATCTGTTATCTGTTATCTGTAATCTGTTATCTGTAATATGTTATTTTTTTGTTTTCAGATATCTATAATCTGTGATCTATTTTCAGTAATCTGTAATCTGTTTCAGTTATCTGTAAAATCTGTAACCGAGTTATCAGAATTCTTTATTCCGTAATCAGAACTCTGTAATCAAAAATCAGCATTGGTTTTCGTAATCAGAAATCTGCATTCGCATTCCGTAATCAGAACTTTATAATCGGAAATCAGGATTCGTATTCCATAATCAGAACTTTGTAATTAGAAATCAGCATTCGTTTTCCGTAATCAGAACTTATTAATAAGAAATCAGCATTTGTATTCGGTTATTAGAACTCTGTTATCAGAAATCAGCATTTGCATTCCGAATATCTGATTACTACGTTGAAGTATAAGAATTCTGTGTTCAGAAAACCGTAATATGTATTCCGTAAGAGTTCTGATTTCAACTATTAGAATTTTGTATTCCTTATTTAGAGTTTTGTAAGTTATCAAAAATCTATCATTGATTATCCGTAATCGGTTATCGCATTCTTTTATCTGTAATCTGTTAAAATCTAGCAGAAATCTGTAATTCAGGATCAGTTAACTGCAGAATGAGTGTTTGNAAATGTACATTGAATGAGATTTGTGCGAATTTAGTTTTTATTTACAAATATATGTGTAGACCTCATTCTGCTCCGTCAGTTCCTTGAAATTCTCCTCGGTTAGATTATCATCTAAGAGTGAGAACGGATCCCGGAGCTAGAATGGATCCCGGAGCTAGAATGGATCCCGGAGCTAGAATGGATCCCGGAGCTAGAATGGGTTCTGAGTCGTTTTTTAGATCTTCACGGCAATTATAGTTTTGCATTGTTACAAGAAATATTTGTCTCACTTATTTCTCTCCGCGTGTTGTCCTTCAATGGCCGGAGAAAGTTACTCAATTTCATGATCAGAATAATTAATTTATTTTACTGAAAAACTGAAGAAATCACGCGATTTTAATAATTCCCTCTAAAATCAGACTGAATTTATTTTATCCTTAAAATCAAAAATTATTTTAATAACATAATTATGAAAATTTCACTGGTTTTAAATCTCTGGTATATAATCTCATGTTTAGAACCGGAGTGATGAGATGGACCCCGGAGTAAAGAGTATCAGCTCCAAGATGGAGAATCTGCAGGACAGGTAGGAACTCAACCTGACAACCCTTCCCGGTGCAGTAGTTTTTAATAAATACAAAAAGTAGGAAAAGGGGTGCATCCCTCTTTCATCCTCCATCCCTATATTAAGGCTATTCTAGGGTTTTAACATAGTTCCCCCATAAACAATCACTCGCTTCAATTTCGGATGCATGTATGTGTAGGGCAGAAGTAGAGTTGTTTAAATACAATAAATACTTGTAATTGTTCTGTTTCTAAGTAGGTTTCACTCTAATGAATATATTCTTAGAATTAGTGTTCTAGCATATTCATTACAATTAGAACTAACACTTCGCACAGTACATTTAATGTGAATTCGGTCAAATTCCTACTTACAATCTACAATCTAAATTATACAATCTACAATCTACAATCTACAATCTACAATCTACAATCTGCAATCTACAATCTACAATCTACAATCTACAATCTACAATCTACAATCTACATTCTAAATTCTACAATCTACAATCTACAATCTACAATCTACAATCTACATTCTAAATTCTACAATCTACAATCTACAATCTACAATTTCTACAATCTACAATCTACAATCTACAATCTACAATCTACATTCTAAATTCTACAATCTACAATCTACAATCTACAATTTACATTCTAAATTCTACAATCTACAATCTACAATCTACAATTTACATTCTAAATTCTACAATCTACAATCTACAATCTACAAAAGCCATACTCTAAACTCTACGGTCTATATTTTACAATCTAAACTCTATACAAGCTACACTAAATCTACACTCAACATTCTACACTCAACACACAAACTCTACAGTCTACAGTACACTTTCTGCTACACTCTACAGTACACTATACGGTACATTCTACAGTACATTCTCTAGTACACTATACGGTAGACTCGACAGTAGACTGTGCAGTAGTAGGAGTACATTCTAAAGTAATTATTATATTTATATTTGTGACATTGCAATTGAGTTAATACTTGTGACATTGAGTTATTATCAGATTATAATTAACTTTCAGATTGTTTAAAATTACCTGATCGCTATAAAGTCTCATTGGTTGTTGGTATACCTGGATTATATTTCTTTTATAAAGATAAATTATAGATTGTATTCATACCAGCTGACAGAAATACTATTTATAAGAAATAATTAATCATCTCTTGGGAAAACAAACCATTCTTTATGTTCCTAACAATATTGATGCAAAATTAATTAATTAATTGATAAAGTAAGGTTGTAGCAAAGCTTCTGATAGAATTTGTATACTATATCAGAAGGTTAATGTAAAAATGTTAAATTAGTTAATAACGAGTTATTGGAGCTAGACGCTTCTATTCTTAGTTTTATAGAACATTCTAGAATTCATAAATTTATAAAGTGTATTTTTGATTCGTCTCTGTAAAACATCTACATACAAGTTTGGGTTGGGAACCCGGCTTTTTTATTCAAGTCCCAACGGAAGACGACCGATTAAAGTCGACCTACTCAACTTGTTAAAACAAAGCTAAGAACCTGAATATTACCTAGGTTCTAACGAGTTCCCCTGCTAAAATTTGAGACAACCCGGTCAAGGGGTTCATCAATTCTGATCGGACACAAGAATTACTGACTGTTGAAATCTATAGTTTTCTTTAAATGTATCATAAATGTTTTTATTTATGCCCTGATTCATGAAGACCTTTAAGCTATGCCTATCATTCTCTTGTATTAGATTTTTTTCTATCAATGCTTTATTACAATATTATTCATTCTATCAATGCTTTATTACAATATTCTATAAACGGAGCAGCTTGCATAAACGAATCAGACGGGAATCCTGCCGATACGGCGAAACCTGTCAGATTCTTCGGTAGGTCGAACTTGCTTCGATCAGTTCCCGATATGTTGAACACAAGGATAGGATTCTAATTGCTCCTGGAGGAATCTAATTTTTCACACTGAGACACATTCTCTCCATTAGTTTCACCTTGAGAATTCAATACTAACTAATCAGTCAGGAATCTTAAACCTCCCCCGTCCCCTTCTCCCCCTCCTCCTTCTCCTCGCTCCTTCTTTCCTTCTCCTGCTTCTCCTCCCCTCATTATAATTTTCTTTCTCCCCTTATTTTTTCTTCTCCTTCTCTCCAAAATTTTTGTTCTCATTTTCCCCCCTTATTCTTCTTCTCATATTCCCCGCATTCCTCTTCTCCTTATCCCCACTATTCCCCTCACTCCTTTTTTCTCCTTCTCCTCCCCGCCTCTCCTCGTCCCCCTTCATTCTCCTCCCTTCTCATTCCTTGCCTGTTTGTTCTCATGTCTCAAGTTCCGCCGTCATCCCCTGAACTCCCTGAACAGAGCGGCTAATCTAGAATTTTCCCAATCCCAGATTCCTTTCCCAACATCAGTTAAAAACTATCTTTTATTTGATTTTTTGTTTGTTAATTTTCTGAACCTATGCAAACATATGTACATACACCCATACATACATACATAGATAAATATACACGATACATGTATGCAACTAGCTTGATAAGAGAAGATAAAAAGCCATAAAGTCTAAATGATCCATCAGCTATTGATAAAGGGGCGACTTTGAATTAGCTCTAGGCCTTGGCCCATGTCACCTTTTACCAACCCACTTATACTGAATGTTCAAAAATACAAAGCTGCAATTTGGTTTTAGATTCATTTTTAAAACTAATTGACAACGCTTGGTAAATTTTTGTTTTGAAATATGTATATTTTAGCATCTCTGGGCAGAAACATCTGTTTGAACAAAATAAGAGACTTTTATTTTTTGTTTAGAGACTATGTTTGATATTGAAAAAGTTATGCATATTATGCATAATATTAAATGTAAAATATTATGTCTTATATTACTTTTGTTTTGTAGAAAGAAGGAAGGGAAAATTTTATTTGGAAAGTTTTTAAAGGTGAAAACCGCCAATGTTGGACAAATCGACCCATAAGGTCGATCTCCTGTTACTGAAAAACTACCTTTACCATGCATAAGATGTAGAGTGGTTAGAAGTGTTAGAATCCGGGTTTTTTTAAAAAATCCGAACTCACCACATGCAGTTGTTTCATAAAAATGCTCTTTAAAATCGGAAATTATTAAAACGTCTAAAAAGGGTCTAAAAACTCATCTGATTCAAAAGTGTGTGATCCACAAACACTTTAAATTATGTCAAATTAGGTATTTTCATGTTAAAGACTATATCAAGTAAATATCGCCCTTCAAAAGATGCAGGCAATCTAAGCAAATTTTACTAAAATTTTCTGGATTTAAAAATTGAGAATGGTCCAAAAGCTCAAATTTATATTTCACAATTCAAATTTGGTAAAATTAGGGTAGTTCTTTCAAAAAGATTTCATGTGAATCTCACCAAACAAAAGATACAGCTTAGTAATCTAAGAAAATGTTACCAAAGGTCGACCTTATGGGTCGATTTGCAGCGCAGTGCCATTTGAAAAGTAAGGCTGGACAAAGAAAAAAAAGGTTGGAAAATTAAAAAAGGCTGGAAAGTGGAAAAAGTGAAAAGGTTGGAAAATGTAAAAAAGTTGAAAAAAAGAAGAAAGTTAAAAATGGAAAAAGGTTTGACAAGATTAAGTGTTGAAGGAAGGAAGTAAAGTTAGGAAATTGAGATATTGTGTGATCAAAAGTTGGAGTAGTTTCAAAGACTCAAATTATGGAAGTTTTGAAAATGTAAGATTTACTTTTTTAATAATTATAATATGAAATAACACAGCTAGGATTATAATAAGGTTGGACTGTTTTAGAATACATTTTGATTAGGTTTTGGATTGTTATCTGAATGTTGGATTTGAGGAAATGAAATAAGATTATAATTTATGTACTTGATTCAAATCCTCATCATATCGTAAAGTATAACAATTTTATAATTTTTCTTATTCATTTTGATCAAGATTTTATAATTGGAAGCACGCAAACCTGAAATATTATAAAAGCCGAGTTAACAGTATAGGTTGTCATATTAGAGCTAGATGGAAACTTATTAATAGACAAACCTGGATTAAACTGTTCAAATAAGTTGAAATTAGTTGAAATTTTTTTCTTATTTCATGCTATTTCTCACATCTTGACGAGAATTAGCTCTACTCATCTAAACCGATTAATTTTCCTCGATCTATTCAAAAGTTATCGGCTCAGGGACCAAATTTAATGAATTTGCAGGGTCGCTAAACGTCCTAACGCCGGTTAAAATTTGAATCACTGATTCAAATCTTTCCTGACTCTTTAACTTTGAATCAGTGGTTCAAATTTGAACCGGAAATAAGTAGTTCAGCGACAGAGTTTAAATTCGTAAAATTCTGTTTCAGCTCTAACTCAGGGTGTGAGTTTAAGCTGAGGATTCACTGGAGAACAGTTCTATCTGGCAGAGTTTCAGTAATTTTCTCAATTTAGAAAAAATTTTCTTTTCACGGATCAATTCTTCTAAATGTTCCGTATTTTTGATGAGTTTTCAAAATATTTACCAGAAACATTGTTTAAACAATAGTTCTCCTAATTCCGTCAGTCATCAAGGAAATCGACAGTTGAAATTTAAAGTTAAAAAAGAATATATTTTTCATTTAAGAAACTTCACAAATTAAGTGGATTGAGATGAAAAATCGAAGTAAATTTTTCTATTTTGTGTGTTATGTAAACACAATACTTGTACATTATGCATGCTTACATACACCCGATGGTGATCTGGGTTTTAAAACTAGGGGAGGCTTTCAAATCTCTTTCCTGGATATTAATTTTTTTAACATGAATTAAAAAGTTTTAGTTAAAATTTTTTTTAAGGTTTTGTGTATATTATCAAGAGATAAAAAGATGTTTTTTATTTATGTCTGACAAAAAGATGAAGTGTAAATTTTTCTTATTTTTATCACACCAACGTCAATTTGGGGTCCGGTCTATTTTGTTTTAATTTATTCCAATGTTTATGTTCTATCTCCTTCGGTTTGTTTCCTTTTAACTCCATAAATCATCCGTTCACTCTGATCTA